TCTTTCTTTCTTTCTTTCTTTCTTTCTTTCTTTCTTTCTTTCTTTCTGCCTTTTTCTTCCTTCCTTCCTTTCTTTTTTTATCTCTTTCTCTCTCTTTCTTCCTTCCTTCCTTTCTTTATTTTTCTTTCTTTCTCTTACTTCTCATTTCTCTAACTTTTATAGGTAAAAGCCACTGGCTGGTGGCCCAAAAAGCTTCCTTAAAGAAGAAGTTCAAGCAAGTAGTGTGCCCACACACAGAAGTTCAGGAAGACCACAAAAAACCTTCCCTGGCACAGATTCAAAGGAAGAAATGGGCCTCGATTGAAAGCCTGTTCCATGTTCCTGAAAAGCACATCTTAGATCGGCCATTTTTGGTGAGAGAAAACTCGGGCTTGGGCTCTTGGTAACCAGCATTCACAGAAGAGCAGGACTGGAGGGGCCCCTAGACCAAAGACGCTACAGTATTTATTAGAGATGGAATAAGAATATAGAATGTCAGAGCTAGCAGGGCACCTAGAGATCATCTAGGCCAACCCCCTCATTTTGTATATGGAGAAACTGAGGCCCCGAGAGAGGAAGTGAGTTGTGATAAGATAGAAGTCATAACAAATAGCTTCTGACTGTAGCCATATGTGTGAGGGCAGAAGACATAGCTAGATTTTGCCCCTCTTCTTGCAGAGAATGGAAAGATCAGGGGCTGGGAGTAGGCTGGGACACTCATGCAGAATAAAAAAGCCATATTATTGAACTAACGATAATTACAATAATAATATTTATGTACTGCTTTGGAGCTAAAAGTCGTTATACTTGCATTGGCTTCTTGGATCCTCTTAACGATCCCATGAGATAGTGTAGAAGGCATAGAGTCTTGCAATGGAAGGAACACAGGGCTTGACATTGGAACCCCTGTTCCATTCCTTACTAGCTCTGTAACCTTGGGCTCCTACCCTCTCTGGGTCTCTGATTTCTCATTCATAAAATGGGAATAGTGCTGTAACAGCCACCACCTCCTCTAGTGTTGAGATGAAGATCAGTGAGAGAGCGGATGTGAATGTGTAACCACAAATAAACTAATACAACAGGCAGGGGTTTGACAGGATGAAGACGAGGCCAGTGAGTGAATGCAAGACATAATTGCACCAGCAAAGGCTTGGAAGGAGGAGGGCACGTTCAGGGGACAAAGCGTTGCCCCCTGGAAGTAAAAGTATTAGATAAATACAAGCTATTGCCATTGTTATTATAATGATTATTATGTCTAGCTTTCCCCCTAGTTAAAAAAGGTGTTTTGGGGGTGGGGTAAAAGATTTAGTTTATAGAAGAAATTCACAAAAGGATGCTCAGTGTTATCATTAGAACCTCTAGACCTCTTGGGGGATTAAGAGACAAAAATGGAAAATTGTGGGTAACTCTCGAGCTCAAAGAGACATTAGCTGACTCTCAGACCAGAGAGCTCTCTTCTGGCTCTAAGAGTTGATGACGACTTTCCTGAAGTCATACAGCAAGTTAGTGACAAGTCTAAAGAAGCTTGTTAAAAGTTGCACCACTAGTTATCAGTATAGACATAACCTCTTTATAGATCTTCCTAACTTCCCCCATAAGCCATCCATCAAATGTTGCCAGAATATCTTTCTTATGCATGGAACTGATCATTACTCCTCTGCTTAAAAACTGTCAGTGGCTCCCTAGTGCCTACCAAGTAAAGTTTTGACTTCTTTGTCAGGGATGCAAGGCCCTCCACAATCTATCGCAACCTTATTGTTGTTGTTTAGTTGATTAGTTGTGTCTGACTCTTTGTGATCCCATTTGGGGTTTTCTTGGCAAAGATACTGGAGTGCTTTGCCATTTCCTTCTCCAGCTCATTTTACAGATGAGAAAACTTAGACAAACAGGATTAAGAGACTTGCCTGGGGTCATACAGCTAGTGGCTACCTCTATCACAACCTTACCTTTCCAGCTTAATATCATGTCACTTGCCTCTATGCACTTCATTTTCCAGCCAAACTGGACAACCCTTTGTCCCCTGAATATAGCCAGCACCCCCCTCCTTATGGACCTGTGCTCTTACAGTTACATTTTTCATTCTTCCACAGACCTCCTCTTCACCTGTCAAATTCCTACCCATTATTTAAAGTCTGACAAATGCCTCCTCCTTAGGAAATCTTCCTTGGTCCAGAAGAGTAGCGTTTTTCTTCAGACTTCACCTAGCACTTTGTTTTATAGCTCTCTAATATATTTATTATGTAATATTTTTTGATCTTTATCTTTGTTTGTGTCTTAGACCTTTGTTTGACTGAGTTCCTTGAGGGAAGGGACCATTTCTTATCTTAGTTTATTGTAGTCTCTAGTAGTACTGAGCACAGTGCTTGGACTCTTGATAAACGTTGTTATTATTATTATTCATAATAACCCACACTCATATGGCACTTGAAGGTTTCCAACACATTTTCCTCACAGTAACTCTGTGAGGTGGGACATGCTAGCCACCCCTGTATCTTTCCAATTTTAGTATGTATACCGAGAAAGTGAGCATTCTAGCTTTATGTTTTATTTGCCATGTTGTGACTAGTGTCCTATTTAGAACCTAGGAACTGAGCTGCCATTTCATTTCGGTGCTGTCTACTTCACTGAACATTTTGTTTGATTCTAGCATCTATTTTTATAGTTTCACTCGGGCAGGAGGCTCCCCAGGTGTGAACTAAGGGGCTTAAGAAAGGGTCAGGTGATGGCTTCCTCTTCCAGCCCGCTCACAGACTTTGCCTCTTGGTTTCAGCCTCTGGCTCAAAGCCCGGGATTCTAGTCCTGTATATTCCTTCATTTGCCTGATTAATGGAAGAGGATCAGCAGGATGAGGTATGGAGAGAAGCTCTGGATACCAGCCAGCTTGTTGTGTAACGGCTATAACCATTTTCTCAGAAGCTTTGCAAAGGCCTCATTAGGCAAATCAATATTAACATGGGATTCTGTTAGAAAACCGTCGTCTTTAGAGAAGTGCCACATAGATTGGGCTTCGTCCCCAAATTCAGCTCATAGTTTCAAGGGAATTTATATCTTAAGAATGCAATTGCCCAGTTACTGTCAGTAAGCTCTGGGTTTCAGGGTTCCTCAGTTTTCAAATTCTAGTCTTCTCTATTTTCCTAGTTAGATAAGTGAGGCCACTCATGTTTCAGATATTTCAGAACTCTGAAGTCCTTCTTCTTCTCATGTTGCCCTCATGCTATGCCCACTGGGCCCAGCATCACTGCTAGAGGAGTTCATTCGGACTCTTGGACCTGCCCCTCTCTGCAATTAGTACTTACTGCCTGAGCTAACTCTTTTTCTACTTGCAAAGCTTGTCTAGTCTCATGCATTGACTGACTGAACCTACTCCTTTCTGAATATGGTGTCTCCTGCTGGGCAAATAGTTCTGCTGTAATATGCTGTGACCAAATTGGAGTGGGGTGGAGAGTGTTATATCCTCTTCCCTAGCTCATTATCTTCCCTACTATCAGAACTCACATTTCTTAGAGATTGATCTCAATTCCTCCCTAGAAAATTTTTTTTAATTTATTTAAAACTTAAATTCAAATAGGAATAGAAAAAGAAACATATTATAAACTTAAATACAAAGAAAAGAAAAAAAGCATTGCCATGTGCACAGCAGAACATGAGACAATTCAATATATGCAGCAATAAATTTCCATTTCAAGAAAGCCTATATAATAAATACTATACATTGTATTCAGAGCTGTCCATCTTTTCTTTGCTTCCTTGTAAGTTTTCTTTTGTTCTCTGCTGTGCAATTTTTAGTTTGTTCTTTTTCCTCCTTCCTCCCCCAAGGAGGCTACAATTAAGCATGAATATATTTTTATGTATGTATGTGTGTTTGTCTGTGTGTGTGTGTATGTATATATATATATACATATACACACTTATACATATATACACAAATGATTATATACATACATATACACATACACACACTTACATACACATACATATACTTAGGTATCTATAGTCATACTCATATACAGACATATACATTCATCTATGTAAGACTGTACTATACTTGTCTATCTTCTGTTTCTCTGCGTGTGGATAACATTTCCTTCCTAAGTCCAAGTCTTTCCATATTTTTCTAAGTCTGCCAACTCATATTTTCCTGCACCACAACAATATTCCAACCTTATATTATCTAGTTATTTTAAATAGTCTAAAACAAAATTGATTAATATGGCTGACATATACTGTAGTTTCCCTATTTTTCTCTTTTGATTAAATCTATTTTAGCTTTAACTTTGTGTGAGATCATGACTACCACCCCTGCTTTTTTTCCTAATAAATTCTACTCCTGATCTTTATTTTATATTTGTATCTCTTATTTCCTATCCCTACTGATTCCTCTACTTTGCTTCTACCCACTTCCTTGCCCATCTATTACTCAACTTACCCCTCCTCCGAAGATCCCTCCCTTACTTCTCCACGTCACCCTTTTCTCTTACCCTCTTGATTCTATCTGAATTTAGAAGACTTTTATAGCCTCCCAAATATATATGTTATTCCCTCTTCATCCCATTCCCATTAATCTAGACACCCTTCTATCACCCCCTTATCCTATTCCCTCACCCTCTTTTTTTTTTATAAATTTAGAAGACTTTTATTCCCTTCTACATGTATATATTGTTCTCTCCTTAAACCCTATCTTATGTGAGCAGAGTTTCCTCTAAAAATCCCTCTGTTATCCTCTCCCCCCTCCCTATCCCCTTAGCCTTTTATTTATTTCTGAATTTAGTAGACTTTTATATATGTACTGTTCCCTCTTTAACCCATTTCCGATGAGAGTAGGGTTCCAGAACTACCAGCCCTTCTCCCCATCTAATTCCTCTGTGTCATTTCTTCCTCTTGCACCTCATTGTATAAGATAATTACTCTGTCTACCTTTTCCTTAACTGTTTTACTTTTTACAATCACATCATACTAAAGTCCACCCCAATCTTTCTTTCGAACTACCCAATTACTGATAACAATCTTAGATATACTTTTTAAATTTCCTCATGTAAAAAGTAAATAATCTGTCCTTATTGAGTCCCTTATAATTAGTCTTTGATGTGTACGTTATATTTCTCTTGAATCTTGTATGTCAAATCTTCTATTAAGTTTAGATTTTTTGCAACAAAATCCTGAAAGTGTGGCAGTTCATTGAATTTGCTTTTTTTTTTTCATTCAGGATTATGCTTAACTTTGCTGGGTATGATATTTTCAGCCACAACCCCAGTTCTTTTGCTCTTCGATATATACTGTTCCAAGACCTACAGTCTTTTAGTGTAACCGCTACTAGCTTCTGTGTGATTATAATTGTGGCTCTGCCATATTTGAATTGTTTTTTTCTTGTTGCTCA